TAATAAATGCATATGCAGAAATTAAAAAGAAGCACTGCTGGAAACTCGAGGTCCTTTCTGGTAAAACTTTATAGAAATTTCTTTTTCTTAACAATTCTTATTATGGATAATTATATTTTCTGAGTTTGGCTGATGAAACTAGTATTTTTTTCATCTTCTAATGTGTATAAAGTAGTATTAAATATAATCAAACAAGTATTCTGGTTCTATTATTGAGCATCTGATGCCTTGGATATGTTTCTTCATATGTATCCTTCTGTTCAGTGATGAGAGTTTTTGTTTTTTAAGGTGATCATGAACAAAGGTATTGGCAGAAGATTTTGGTTGATAGACAGGCCAAACTTAATCAGCCTCGGGAAAAGAAAAGAGGCACTGAAAAGGTAATTATTTCATTTTTTGTTTCTGTAGACTAAACTTTTTTTGGAAATTGGATGCCTTCTGAAAGTCAGTAATAGGCAGTTATAAAATAACTTTGCTTTTGGTATTACATAACAGAGATTTACAAAAGGGAAGACCCACTCTCTAGATTTCAAAACGCATGAAATGGAGTTATTTTTCCCACAAGGGTACATAATTTTAATTTACAGTTTTTCTTTTTCTCCTTTCTTTTTTTAACCAGTGATGTACTTTAAACAGTCTTGATTTCTGGCTGCTGTGTCTTGTATGGTAGTAAATGATTACAGAAAGATTGTCTTAATGGTTAAAAACAATGTATTTGGAGTGTAGTTTATAAGAGATGAGGCTCCACAGATAAGATTAAGAGACTTTATGCCTCGTGTTCCCTACAGCAGTGATAAGTTTTATTCCTTTTTCTCTAGGATCATCAACAAGCGATACAAACAAGCTTACATAAATAATTTAAAGCAAGCTTCTCTTTCAATAATTTTATTTTGTGTTAATTAAAACGATACTGGAAATTTATAAAATGTTGCTAGTAAGCTGTCGGGTTTATTCTTTTAAAACAAATTATGTGCATGTAAAGGTTAATACATTTTTAAGTGTTTAGAACAAAGTAGGGTATCTAATAACTAATACTATTATCATAAAAACTTAGAAATGTGTATTATAAAAGTCTGAGAAAAACCTAAAAAGATGAACATCTGTGTATGTTTGGCGAGCACTTTAAAAGTCATACTTCCTGTAATCTAGGCTTGTTAAATTGAGGTCATTTTTATAGTTGTTTTAACTTCAAAATCAAGTGTTTTTTCACCAGCCTTCAATAACCTGGAATTCACTGGAATTTATGATGATTTGGGGAGAGGTGTCCTACTGGTCTTTGTTAATTCTGTTTCCTTGAATGGAGACTGAACTGCTGAGATGGGGAGGCCTCCTTGCTTCCTAAAGGACTCTTTCAGGTCTAAGAGGTGTTAATGCCACAGCCTGTTTGAGATTATTTAAATGTTAAAATCGTTAATCCAGAACCCACAAGTGAAATGAAGTCACTTTGTAAAATAATACTTCTAATTGGTGTGAAATTTCATTCAGATTGTATATATTTTTTAAACTAGGAATTAATCATTTATTTTTGATTTTAGAAATTCAGAAAGATCGTGTCTTTGACAATTAAATTTGAAGCAAGGAAATAAACATTGGCTAGGAAATTTTATAAACTGAGTTGGAACACATGAGTAGCTCTATTATTGAGTTGGGCAGTTCTCTTTTCCTGATTTCATTTACCTGTGGCACCATCAGGGTTGTCATTACCAGGATTTGTTAAGTAGAAACAGCAGAAGCTATGGAAGTAGCTCCTTGGCTCATGTCATGTTATTTC